GCTACGATGATGTTAGATCCGCTCTGGCCAGAGTCAGCCATGTGGAGATAAATAGACACTTCATGCCCGTAATGGTCCCTAGTGAAACTCAGCTGCATATCTTCTGCGACGCGAGCCTTTCTTCCTACGGTTGTGTGGTTTACCTTCGCCAATTGCGTTCAGATGGTAGTCCGAAGATATCCTTCGTCTACGCCAAAGCGAAAGTCTGTCCGCTCAAGCCTTGGTCTATTCACAGATATGAGCTTTTGGGAGGTCTGCTAGCTGCACGCGTCGGAAGCAAATTATTAGCTTTATGGGACGCTCCCATCGGCTCAGCTCATTATTGGAGCGATAATTCAAGTTTACTCAATTGGTTGAGATCCGATCCAGCCCGCTGGAGACCGTTTGTGGCCAACCGGATACGCCTGATACAGAAACTTTCCGAGGGCGCGGAGTGGCAATATATTAGGTCGGAAGAAAACCCGGCGGATATTGTCTCTCGTTGCAAAGACCTCTCGGATGAGAGTATCGCGTCTACGTGGTTTCAAGGTCCTGCATGGCTTAAATCCACCGTTGTCCGGCTAGAATCTGAATTGCCAGGAATGTCGGATGAGACTTCTCCAGAAGCACTGCAGTCGATCTGTATGGCGGCTGTCGTGAAATGCGGTCGGAACGCAATTTTCTTCGAGCATTCATTCTCGTCTTGGCACAAGGCGGTCAGGTTCTGGGCCTACATCTTGAGGTTGATTTCCGAAGCTAAACGAGCGAAACAGACAGCTAATCTGGCAGGAAAGAAACTCAGCAATCTTTCAGGGATCGGGCCTGTAAACGTTGGTCGACCAGAGGAATTGAGTGCTGATGAATTACTCGTGGCAAGAGCGAGCCTTATCCGTTTAATTCAGAAAACGTACTTTCCCGAGGAATTCAATTCTGCTTGCAGAGATGTCAGGAAAACAAGCTCACTCTTCCAACTAAACCCGGAGATGGATGGAGATGGTATAATTCGATGTGTTTCTCGCTTGGTAAAGTCGTCGGACTTGTCAGACGATCAGAGAAAACCTATCATCCTCCCGGCTGACTGTAATTTCTCGAAACTTATCATTATGGACATCCATGCGAAAACTTGTTTTCATACTGGTGGCGTCGCCACCGTTCTGCATCATCTGCGTCAGAACTTCCTCATTCTAAAAGCTCGCCACCTTACCAGGCAAATTCTGGCGTCGTGCCCTTTGTGTAAAATTTTCATGCACAGCCAGCTTCGCTGCCTACGGCGGTTCTCCCGCGTTTCAGAATCGAAAGATCACCGCCGTTCTATTACTCCGGTTGTGACTTCGCCGGGCCGATTTGGTACCGAAAAGAATCGGGCGAAAAAAGTAAAAGCTATATCTTATTGTTCACCTGTGCCGTTACGAGAGCTGTTCATATCGAGTTGACTCTAGATATGTCCACCTTTGAGGTTCTGCGAGCGTTGCAGAAATTCTTGAGTCGGTACCCCGCTGTTAACACTATAATCTCCGATAACGGCCTTTCCTTCAAGGGAGCGAGTCGGGAGCTTAAAACCGTATACGACCACGTCACTAACCCGGAGGTTAAGCGTTGGCTTGCTAATTCGATGATATCTTGGGAGTTTATTACTCCTCTTGCTCCTTGGATGGGTGGCTTCTATGAACGACAGGTGCAAACGATTAAAAGACCTCTACGGAAGGTTCTTGGTTCTTGCGTCCCCTTGTTCCGTGATCTGGAAGTGATACTTGCAGGCATTGAGGCAATCGTCAATCGCCGACCTCTTACGAGTGCGGTCTCGGATCCAAATGAGGTTTCGGCGCTGAGCCCCAGTGATCTTCTGTTCGGGTATCGGGGTGACTCACATATTCCAAACGCACCTTCGAAACCAATGGACAAGAGCGATTCTGGTAAAGTCGTCTTCTCAAAGCGATGGCTTTATCAGCAACGGGTTTTGAATTATTTTTGGAAACGATTTTATGAGGAATACCTATCCTATTTGCGTTCGGCGCACAACAGGCTCCCGATTGAGGCACGACCGCTAAAGATTGGCGATATATGCCTTCTGAAAGACAAACCGGTAAACAGGGCCTTTTGGCCTCTTTGTAAAGTGGTTGCCTTTCCTGAGGGGGTGGACTCAGACCGTAGCCGTTCGTGCGTTGTAAAGACCGCTCGAGGTCAAATGCTGGCGCGGCCCATCAGGCTTCTTTATCCGATCGAGTCGATTGTCGTTCCGCAATAACACACTTATCCTCGGGCACCGATTTCGGCGGGGACTGTCGCGAACCCTGCCGGTTTGCGCTCGGACGTCATACATGGTCGTTGAGCTCTTCGGAGGTCAGCATAAAACATATCATATTCTGCATGAAACTGATATAATCTTCCATAAGGAGGTTCAATAAATGTATCACGGGACGGTGTACGGAGGACGGAAACCTACAGTTACGCGCGGCGCATAACTTCGTCGTCGAGAGTTCGGTGATGGGTCGCCATCATGGAACAGAGGTAGTTACTCGTGGTGATCGGACTCGCACGGAGGTCTACTCCGGGGTCCACGAATCATCCAGTCCACCGTCCGCCCTACCGTGCCATTTCAGGATTTCACAGTGTCTTCAATATCCATATGGTAGTCGGAGGGGTGCGAGACAACAGGTGTCGTATTGGCGTTTGAGTGAGTGCTGATATGGCGTCCGTGGCGACGAATCCTCTGTCGGCTTGTAGATGTCGAACGGACACTTGACATCCCGGCCGAAGAATTTTTTCGCCGGGGTATTGTTGTTGATGGTCGCCTTTGGCGCGTAGTTGTATGCCATGATTGCGCTGTCAAGCGACCTCTGGGCTCCGTCGAGAGCAGATTTGAGCGTACGAATCATGCTCTCCGCAAGCCCGTTCGAAATGGGCATTCTGGGCGCGCAGCGCAGGTGGACGATGTTCAGTTCGGAGCAGAACTGGGCGAATTCCTGGGAAGTGAATTGTGCCCCAATGTCTGAGACGATTGTGTTCGGAGGACTGAAATGACGGAACAACTGTCTCAAATACGAGATGAGCGTTGCGGCAGTCAGAGAGGGCAACCACTGTGCATCCACGTATTTCGAAAAGCTGACCACGACGTTCAGAAGCAGAACGTTCTTCGTTAAGCACAGCGAGTCGGCGGCCTTGTAGAGCGGACGAAGTTGCGGATCCTTCTCATCGGCGTCCTTCCAGCCCAGAGTGAGTCTTCGGATGACTTCGCTCAGAATCGGATCGAGCTCGGTCTCCTTGACGAGCCGACGACGTAATTGATCCGTGCTGAGCGCGTTGAGACACGTCTCAAGCTCAGCCTCTACAGACAGTTCCAGGTTAGCGACGACCTCGTCGAGGTCAGGGTCATCGTTCGCGTCTCGGGTCTCAGAAATCAACCGCGAGAGCCCGTCGGCGTGTCCGAAATCCTCCGTCTTGACGTAATCGATCTCGAAATCGAAGCCGACCAAGCGGAGAGCCCAACGCTTGAGCCTTGCCGCGGTGCGTTCCTGTAAGCCGTTAGTGTTGGACGTCCGGGAAAGAGCCAGGAGCGGTCGATGATCTGTTTGCAGGACGAAATGCCGCCCCCACACGAATTTTTCGAATCGCTCCTCAGCTGTAATCAGCGCAAATGCTTCTTTCTCCATCTGGCTGTAGTTGTGTTGCGCTTCGGTGAGAGACTTTGAGATGTGGAATAGCGCGCGCTCGTTTCCGTCTTCGTAGCGTTGTAGTACAGTAAAAGCTCGTTATAACGACCCCCATAACAACGAATTTCTCGGTACAACGAGCAAGGAATTTCTCATGCTCTAGCCAGCTCGCCATAGGGATAGTGTTGAGCGGCATTCGTTACAGCGAAAACTCGGTACAGCGAACCGGTTCCGTCGGTTCCTTCGTGTTCGTAGTATCGAGCTTTTACTGTAGTACGCCCCCGATACCGGTCTGGCTAGCATCCGCGGCAACCACGAGCTTTTGTTTCGGATCATAATGAGCGGGTGGTACGGACCGCATAACACCTATTTGACGCCCGTGAGTGCAGCGTCATGCTGCGAAGTCCACTTGAACGTGGCGTCCTCCACCAGCAGAGCCTCTAAGGGTGTCTTGAAAAGATGCAGGTTTTTCACGAAATTGCCGTAAAAGTTCATAAGACCTAGAAGCGCGCAAACTTTTCTGATTCGGGGGCCTCTTCAGGTTCCTGATCACGGCAACCCTGGCTGGATCGGCTTCAATTCCCTTGTCGGAGACAACCATACCGAGATATTTCACCTTAGGGACGTTGATGAAGCATTTCTCCATCCGAAGACGGAACCCCCATTCTCCCAACCGTCGCAGCACCTTCAGGGGACGTTGCTCGTGAAGCTTATTGTCCGTCGCCATGATCAGGATATCATACAAATAATGGAGAGCGCCCTCAAGACCGGCAAGTGGTTGATCAATCGTTTTCTGGAAAATCGCTGGCGCTGTTTTGAGACCGAAAACAAGTCTGGTGTCCCTGAAGAGTCCTCGATGTGTCGTGATCGTCGTCAACTGCTGACTCGGCTCGTCCACACACAGTTGTAGGAAGCGGATGTTCGATTTCTACCAGAGCACCATTTAGCCTTGTTGAGTAGTCTCCGCAAACTCTAACTGCTCCGTTTGGCTTTTTCACGACTACGATAGGAGTGGCCCAATCAGAAGAATCGACAGGAATCAGAGTGCCGTTCTCGACGAGTCTATCGAGTCTCTTGTCGATAGATTCCTGCAATGCGAACGCGACAGGCCGCGGCCGGAGATGAACCGGAACGGCGTCTTTGTTCAACTGCAGGTGAACCTCTAATTTCGTGCATCTGCCCAGCTCAACCTTGAAGAGATTCGGGAATTGCGACGTTAGCGAAGCTGTGTGAATCGCGTTGATTCGGGCTGCCTTCGAATCCAGCTTCCAGGAGACCACGTCGAGGTCCTCGAGAAGAAGACCACAACGGAGGTTGGCTCTCCCGCTCTCGCGGACGAGGAGCGGCTCCTCCACAGACTTGCCCCTGAACTGATAATGAACAACGTTCATTTACCAAGTTCTTGGTGTCTGGTTTTATACTTACATTGGTGAAAATGATACGTATCGCAGTTTTCATCAGAGTTTGCATTGGCACAAGTCGCTTATAAGGTGCTTGGATGATCTTTTACATATTTCGAAGTGAAAGCCATGGATGGCACCTCTCCTGTACAAGTGTCTGTCTTGGATATGGCATAGTTTCAATTTATCGTTTTGAAGGGCCGGTGTTAAGAAGAATTTCGGATCGATGTTGGACATTTTATCGATGTTTGACATTTCGGCAGTCCAAAGGTTTTGCGTAGGTCTTCGGTGAATAGCGGAGTGTTTGTCAGTATATACAAGTCGGTTCTTAGCGGATCGATGTACACCCAGCGCGGATTTGAGGAAAGACGCCTTCAGTTCGTCGTCTGCCTCCAGCTGAGATTCGCTAAGGTGACTCCATATGATCTGGATCCTCTTGGAGGCTGTCGGAGCAATTTCCATATAGAACAATTACAGTGCAGTTACCATCGATAGACTTCGCGGCTTCGGGATGGATGCGAAGGCAGCTCTAGCCTTACGGGTTCTCTCAATGACACGACGAGCAAGGCTCATTCCCCTTTCGGAGAGTGTGACACCCAGATACGTGAAGTGTCTGACTCTTTCAATCTCTTGTCCGTTGAGTGATGTTGATGTTATCCGGTCCGGATGGGTGTTCATGTACGCTGGGTTCTATTCGCTGTCGTGGGATTATTGGTCCCCCTTGGGTCTGCCGCCGAACTTGCCCCTGAACTTGAACTGCGCTTTGAAGAAACCTTCCCTGCTAATGTCACCCCCGTCAACGTGTGTGCATGACGAGTCGTCAGCAGCCAGTTTAGGGGATCCGGGGCTCCTCCAAGTGTCCTGATTCACCGTAGAGATGTCTGCTCAGTGTCGGCACGGAAAGTCACTGTTCTGCCGTTTACGCTAACGTGACGGACTCGCGGCCCTCGATGAGCTTGGACTTACTCAACATCCTATTGACTTGAACACCGTTGTTCTGGAGCGACCGGCAAACTTTCGCGAGATGCCCGACTTTCTTACAAGTATTACACTTGGCGTCTCGGAACTTGCAATCTCGGCGGGAAAGGCCCCCTCCGCAGCCCGGGCAGAGACGTGGGTCTTCTGGACGTCTAGCCTTCGAGCTCGAGCGTTTCTTGCCTGGTCCAGCTTTCGCACTGATCACTACAAGATCATCTCTCCCCGAGTTCTGATTGTCGTTGTCCACCCGGATATCCACCTGGCGAGTCTCGAACCTTCTCATGACAGTACGGACTTCTTCCAGCGTTATGTCCGGCTCTTCGTCGACCGCTCTCAACTCTCAGGATGACACCTCTTAGGTTCATATAAGAAGGGTCACGATGTTGGAGAAGCATGATGAAAATATTGAAGTTCTGCAGCGTGAGTTTACTGAATTCGAAATCATCACCACTGGGCCCTGTTCAACGAATGTCTGAAAACAGGATCGATACCCAAAAAGTGGCGCGACACGCTACTTACAGTGATTCCGAAAGGGAAAGGAGATGCTTCGAAACCAGAGTCCTGGAGAGGAATTGCAAAGAAGAACACGGGATACAAGCTCCTGACAAGAATCCTAACCACCCGACTTAGCGACTACCTCGAGGCACTCGGGATCATCCCGAAGGAGCAACACGGCTTCAGAAGCGACAAATCGACGAGCACCGCCTGCAAGATTCTCCTGGAAGACATTCAAGAGAGGCTCGAGAAACAGGGTCAGTTCATGTACGCTGTCTTCGTAGACTACCGCACGGCTTTCGACTCCGCTCCAAGAGACCTTGTTATGGAGCTGTTGACAAAGGCGGGAGTTCCGAACAAGATTCTCGCCTTACTGACATCGATCCTCCAAGCCAACTCCATAGCTCTCGAGGATGGAATCGTGGAACACCCCTCCTTTGAACAAACTACTGGCCTCGCACAAGGGGACGCATTGAGCCCATTGTTGTTTTCAGTTCTTCTGAAAGACCTCCCCGCCGAAGTTCATCGAGGGAACAGCCGGATCAAAATCCTGTTGTACGCGGACGACGTAGTCATATACAGTCCGGAACGCCTACTCGTCCAAGAAGCTCTATGCAGACTGAACACAATGTCGAAGACGCTTGGACTAGCGGTCAACACAGAAAAGACGGAGGCAATGAAATGTCGAAAAGGAGGAGGAATATCAGTGAAGGATGTTCTAACGATAGGAGGCAACAGACTTAAATTCGTGAATAGCTTCAAATACCTCGGGGTCACGATTCATCACTGCGGATCCTCGTTCACGGGGCACGTGGGAGGCCGATGCAACCGAGCGACCCTGGCCATGCGATCTATAGAATCCCCTCACTTGCTATCGGTCAACACGGCACTCCGCCTGTTCGACATCAAGATCGCACCAGTAGCCGAGTTCGGAATCGAACTAATCTGGCCATTCCTCACGACCAACGACATGACAGCTCTTGACAAAACGAAGGCCACATTCATCAAGCGAACCCTCCGGCTTCACCACACGACGAGGAATCGCCTGGCCCACCTGTTGACGGGTGCGTCGACCCTCACGGAGGACGTTAAGAAGCGACACAACCTAGAAGAAACTGAAGCGTACAAGACCCACCAACGCACATGGGAGGAAAATTCGATGAAGTTGACGTGAGCTTCTATTCAACGGAAGCAATGACAATGGACTCCTGGAAAAAACCGGGAAGGACGAACCGACACATTGTCACTAGATTCGCTGTACACGGCTTTCATCATTTACTCTGTAAAACTCAAGGATTCCACGAACCATCCGACGATTGTACATGCAGAAGATGTTCCAAACTCTGTCCCAAATACCACGCTCGAGAATGCCCCAATGTGATATCTCTGAATGATCTCCAAACCGAGAGACCAAATGAACAGAGAAAATGTAATTACTTACTTAGATAGGAAGAAACTACTCATTACGAGTGAATAAAGACTTTGATTGAAATCATCACCGCCGTTTTGGGTCGCGCCGTTTCGGGCTGCGCCGTTTTGGCCGCGCCGTTTTGGTCGCGCCGTTTTGGCCGCGCCGTTTTGGCCGCGCCGTTTTGTCGCACCCCGTGCTCAAACAGTCGCGAGCCCGATCAAGATTCCTCTGTCACCTTGGCCAGATCCCGGCAAACCTTGGATGCGACTTCACCTGGATTTCGCCGAGCCCGTCAAAGGAAAGTCTCTCTTGGTCTTGGTGGACTCCTGCTCGAAATTGGTAGACGCCGCTTTCCTCCAACCCTGCACCGCCTCTGTCTTGGTGGAGCATCTGAAGATCGTTTCCCGACTTCTGGGAGTTCCGGAAACAATAGTGACTGACAATGATCCACAATTCACATCCTCGGAATTCGCCGAGTTCTGCGCAGAATTCGCGATTGTGCATCTTCGGTCGTCGCATTACTGTCCCCAGAGTAATGGCCAGGCTGAGAAAACGGTGGACACTCTCAAGAGAGCAATGGAGTCACCGGATCAACGATCTCTGGATGCAGCCGTCGCAGCTTATGATGACACTCCGAATCAGGCACTGGATTGGAAAACTCCGACCGAGGTTTTCTCCGGAAGACAACTCAGACTGCAGTTCGCAACCTTGAGGTCAGAGCTCGCTTTCATTCCTGCTGCTGCTGAGAAGTTCAAAGAAAATTACGATATACATCACGGCACCAGTTCTTTTGTCGCAGGGGAAGAGGTGCTGGTTGGGCTCAACAATAGACGCCGAGTGCCTGGAATATTTGTCGAACGCGTGGGCGCGGCCATGGCTAACGTAGAAGTTGAAGGCGAAATTCTTCGTCGGCATATCGATCAGTTCTGGAATAGGAGGGTTTTCGCTTTGCCACAAGCTGAGTCTGACGACGAATATCCTCTACCGTCATTCGCTTACGAGAAAACTTAGTCGGATGAGCCCTCCGCATCTCGTGACGCAGTCGGTGCCAAGTGCGTGCCAGCCTCAGCTCAAGTCGCTGCCGCTCAGTCAGCACTACCTACTCAAGTCGAGGAACCGCCGGTTCCCGCTCATGGCCCGTCGGGCTCTCGAGCGAAATCTCCTCAGCCGCTTCGCGTGCAACCAGAGCGTGCCGTCAAGGACATGTACAGAACCTGGAAGCTAGGCTGGAGTTATGTCCTCCCCTCGGGGAAACAGATGGGCAGGGTGGCCAGAATGGATCCTCATGAAGATGCTCCTGCTCATAGAACCTGTTTCACTGACAGGAAAGAGCTCGAAAGAAATGTGAGGAGCAATACCCGACTCTGTGCTCCTCGGGGTTTTCTTTACAGAACGACGGTGGCGGACAGGAGTTCCTGCTTTTCGAGAGGTTGTTTGTGAAATCTATCGTGTGAGAGACACCTTGAACCTTTAGCGCCTGAACGAGGCAAGCTGTGGTCCGGGACGAAGACTCGAATGTAATCGAGGTCCACCAAAAATTTTGGACCGGAATCGGATTAGCATCTCAAGAGGGCGTCTTCTGGGATTTAGATACCGAACATGATCAGTGCCGATTGAGTCGAGACCTATGGCAAAAGAATCCCCTACCGGAGTGTAGTACAACCCTAGAATGCTATCTGCGTACGTATGGGGAATGGGCAGTCTGGAGGTCTTTACGGACCTACTCAAAATCGGCCCTGAACAATTGAGCCTATGGGAAAATAAGAAAGGTGAGAATTATCGAAGCATACGAACTTCCCTCGAGATCTATTGAAAAATATCGAAATATCTATGTGAAAAAAAATTGTACCCCTCGAAGAAGCGCCGATTCGAATATGGCGCCACGACGCCATATTACGAGAAATTTCGAGTTCTACTGTTTGTCTACACACTTCACGGCTGCTTCTGCGCGCGGAATCCCTAATCAACTAATCACTATGTTGACACAGTTCGTGTTATGTACGATCCGCCGCAGATATTCAACTCGGATCATTCGGGTTTCAAACATGTGGTGCATTCGGATCGAATTTTGTCTTCCACTGGCAAAATAAAACTCTCGTTGCAGTTCAAAGCATGAATGCTTTGACTCACAGCTACCCAATACAGCCGATTTCGAACATGAACGGTCATTTGGTCGGTCGATTACTCGTAAACCTGCAAGAGCCGAGGGGCCAGTCTGGCCTGATCGTAGCGGGTGAGGTGACGAAGTAAAGTATGGGAAATAAGTCAGGGAAGTTAGACAAGGGATTGATGGGGACTTGGTGTCGAGGAGTCTTGAGGGAAGTTTTGTACCGTACAAATACGGATCGTCGCGTACTTTATCTGGATTCCTGGGGCGGTCAGGGAGACGCAAGCTTGTTCACACTGGAAGGCAAGGATATCGACATTAAATCCATTCCGCCGGGAACAGCATCTCTTATTCAACCGCTCAATCAACACTGCTCCCAAATGTGGAAGAACTTCGCAAAATGGATGACTCGAGCGTACAGACTGATTGTTTACCGTATTGGCCGCCGCGATGATGTTCTGCGACTTCAGTCGCTTATCATAGAGATATCTTAAGAAATTGCCGTTCGGGCTGCGGCAATAAGATTGTCCCATCGGTGCTGCTGGAATCCCGCAGTTAGCCGGTCTTGTCGGAGATATCCTGAGACACACCCCTGCAGTACGATATTCTTCTTTCGGATCGCTCCAATCTGTGGACTTTCCGGAGCGGGGGTCGATACACTGTAGCTCTGCAAGTGCACCGCGTGCACCGCAAGATGAGTCTTGGGGTTGATATAGCAATCAGTGATCCTTTTCGCCGAAGTTCGACCCCGATCAAAGAGCAGCGGGGGTGTGACTCTACATCGAATTCCTCACTAGGACCCGCATCATTTCCGAGCTTCATTCCAGATGGCGCCGCGCTCCGCTCTCCGATAAAACCAGGGTTCTTTATTCGACTGCACCATTCGCTCTCGATTCTTCGGAGGATAGCCTGCGCGTATCTCATCGTACTCTCAAACGCTTACTCCAACCGAAAGCTTAGAAAATGTTCGTCCAGTCCAACAAGGCCACTGGTAGGTTCAACTCTCCGTCAGGCATACGACCTGGCAAAGTGTCTTTCGGCCGGCCCATCATCAACCCCGAAGTTCTGCAGGACGTTCTCCTCCGGGGCTCGCCTGTCGCTTCCGAAGCGCCTCTACGCCGCTCATCGGTGGCTGAGCACCAGGAGAGGCCCCGAGCTCCGCAGGGACCAGGGATTCTGGTCGGAGTCTTGGAAAAGCGAGGTACTTCGACTGAGCCGTCGCTTGCGCGTCGAGGATCGTCCGGTGTCGAGCTCGGAAGGCTCCAGGAGGAGAGACGGATCGGAGCGGCGCGCCGCCTACCCAAGAAGACTGCTCAGATGGATTGGGTAAGAGCAGCAGTCCCGGATCAGCTCAAGGAGGTCGGACCGAAGATGGCGGTCAGTCTTCGCAAGGACGAAGATATTAAGCTTAAAGTTTCTGCGCAAGCTTGGAAACCGAGGAGAGCTGCGACCGAAAGTGTCGACGAGCTGCTCTTCAGGAAATTCAGGAGCATCCTCAACAAGCTGACACCAGAGAAATTTGAGGCTCTCTTGACTCAGGTGAAGGCGTTAGAGATAAAATCTCAAGAACAACTCTCGCACATCACCAGTCTCGTCTTGGACAAGGCGCTGGACGAAACTCATTTCGCGCCCACCTACGCGCAGCTGTGCAACACCCTTCTCAGGGAGTTTTCTGTGGCGAGTGAAGGAGATCCGAAGAAGCGAGTCAACTTCCGACAACTCCTGCTGCAGAAATGTCAGGCGGAGTTCGAGAAGGATACCGCTGCGAGCAAAGAGCGGGAAAACGAGCTCAAGAGGGACCGCAAAGCTCAACTTGCGGCCTGCAAATCGAAACTGGAGCGGAAGGACCTCCAGGAGCTCTTCGACGAGGCTGATCAGAAGTCGAAGAGACGCTCTCTCGGTCTCATGACGTTCATTGGGCAGCTCTACAATCTAGGCGTTCTCAGCTACGCCATCATGCATGAGTGCTTCCTGAAGCTGCTGAAAACGTCCGATGACGAGGCTTCCGTCGTTTGTGCGTGCAAGCTTTTCACGACGGTTGGCAAAAAGGTTTCCTCGGAGGGCAAAGGAGGAGGTCGAGAAGCCGCCAAAACGGAAAAGAGTAAGTTTTCTCCGACTTGTCTCCCATTATGCCTCGTTCCCCGGCATATCCGGGATTCTCTCCGCAGTTTCCGCCGTCACCCTTCTAAAGATCATGATTTCTCCCCACAGAATTCAGCATGCTACTCCACAGGCTCAGGAACCTGATCTCGTTGAATAAAAAAGCGCGTAAATCCCATGCGAAACATCTGCCGCAGAGGATAATCTTCATGATGGAAGACGTCTGTGAGCTCGAGAAGAATTGCTGGGTGCCGAGGATCAGAATACAGGCCCCGAAAACGTTGGGAGAAATCAAAGATGAAGCTGATCGCGAGAAGCACGTCGCACGACTCCAACCGGACCTCGACAGCGAGAAGAGGACCAGCAGCCCGAAAGCAATCGGCGAGCCCCGCCCCGGACAAAGACCGATAGCTACCAAGAAGAACGGGGTCACCTACAACCTGACCAAAGAAGAATTCCATTCGATTACGCTGCCACGATCAGCGTTCCCGTTTGCCCCAGAGACTACGCCGCGCAAATGGACTTCTGGCGTCCGCGGTTGAAGAATCGGCTGCATTGAGATATCTTCCCTGCATAGGCTTTCTTTTCTCTGACAACTCGATAAGAAATATAATCATCCATCTGAAACTTATCAGCTTCTTTCGAGTTGATTCATTTCCATGCGATCAAGCTTGCTCTCCAATCGCATGTTCAATATTGCAGCTCCATTCACGTTGCTATTCTCGTGGTTGTCCCGCCGGCCTCCGCTGATCCGAAAACTCTTCGCCTCATGTACCAGAGCTGTGAGGGCTCTCCACGAGACACCATAGCGACCAATTCACAGCTCTATACTATCTCGAAGGGGTTCCATCTCTTCAGCTCACCGATCTTGTGTGATCTCGGAACGATGTTAACAGATCCTCAGAGAAACCGGGCAATGCTGGAGGGCCGGGTCCAGAGGCTCATTCTTCCCACGGCGAGCCTCGATCTTTCTTCGATCTCAGCCCACAGATCAGGAGAGGACTTCAAGTTCGGAAACTAGCCTGAACAACTCCTCGTCCGGGAGTTGAGAATCTTCTTCACCGAATCAATCCGTGTGGAAGCGTGGGGACGGATGTATTTTCTCAAGATTTGGGGCTGCCTCTTCCGCTGCAGATGGGAAACAGATCCTGGGAAGCGCCTCCTAAGAATACTGGTATTAGCCAATGATCGTTCTGAATGAGAGGGTCGCGATAAGAAACCCCACACCATCACCTGCGAGGAGGGAATTTCATCCACGGTGGGACCACAGCATCGTAACGTTTATTCTAAGCAACATTTTGCAAAGGTTTCGAGTCGGGGACCGAGTCGAGGAGTCCCCAAACAATTCCCGAATCAAAGGCTCGTCTTAATGTTCACCTCCAGTTCTTACATACACAAGTATCAGCAGGAGACTCATCGAACCACGGTTCTACTGTTAATCGGCGAATGCGCGCTCGCGTCTCGAGGAACGATCAGAACGCCGAGGCGAGGGAGGAAATCGAAACCAGGGGATTCTCGTTGTCAGAACTAGCAGGGTGTTCGATGGACCACTCTTTGTTCGCAGTCCGCGCTAGACGGCAGACCTACGGAAGTCGCATCGCGTCATCTCCCCGGTTTCCGAGTGCCTTCTGGTACCGATAGCTGTACCCTGGAAGGGTAGAAGGGGATCGATGAAGGAGATTCTTCGGGCATCGTCGCCTCAGACACGAAGCGCGATCGCGTCGCGATTTCATGAATGCCCACGGACATGGTCTTCCCACCTACGAATGTTAGATGTAATTAAGGAAAGCTTCCGGTGGCGGTCGTGCGGAAGAGATGGAATTTTATTTCGATTTTCTTCTGTCTAGGAGATTGACAATCAAGGATCATTGACGATCCGAAATAACGATGTGCCGTCAAAGCTTCGAGCAAGTTCACCTCGAGGTGAGTCTGGAGATAACACGCTGGAAGAACTTCATCCTGGGGACTCGTCGGGAGACCCTGCGCAGATTCTTCTTCATCTGGGACACCTTTGGCGCCGGACGGATCCTTCCGTTCTTTGCTGTGTGCGAGGTCAACTCAGCACTCGATTCGGTATTCCCGGTGGAGAATGAGGTTGAGGACTGCAGGGAATCTTCTTCATCGTCGTCCTCGAACCTCTCGATGCCGGAAATGGCACACCACTCCTCCTTCCGTGGCACATTGGGGTACGAGATGTATTCCATCGTTTCGACGGTAGATCCTTCCTGAGAGCTTCCCATGATGGACGACATGGTTGATATAGGTACGAGGTCGTTCCGGTGAAAATCGCTAATAAGTGAATGGTAGGAAGCGGACGTCCTCTTCTGCTGTCCTCAGTGAATTGATTGCACTTGGTGAATATCAACCATGACCGCAGTGTTTATGTACTCTCAGAAACCACGTCGCATCGCCCCCTCTCCGAATTCCATTAGGCGACCCATCCCTGTGAGGAGAGACGCCGAAGAACTCACCTCGAATCGGAATGCAGGGTCGCAGAGTCGAATTCCAATCGCAAGTAATCAGGGGTTCTGGCCTAATTTCGAAATTCGCACTCTCTCCAATGAATCGACAGTTCATACTCTTTTATTGGAGTCGATAGAAGCAAATCTTACAGTTCAGCAGCTTCCCTACATTTCCCCCCTTCAGCTTGGTTTCCATCCCCGGGGTGAAAAAACACGATTCTTGCATTCGCGAGTGGGCTGTATTCGGCGCGGTGGCGCGCCGTCCGGCGAGTTCGCAGATTCCATGGATGCATACGGACATGGTCTTCCCACCTCCGAATGTTAGATGTAACTAAGAAAAGCTTTCGGTGGCGGTTGTTCGGAAGAGACAGAGTTTTATTTCGATGTTCCTCTCTCTAACAAGGACCATTGACGATCCGAAATAACAATGTGGCATTAAAGCTTCTCTGTCGAAGGCCCGATCGTGAGTGCAAGTAGATCGCTGAGCAAGTTCATCACCTCCTCGAGGTGAGTCTGGAGATAATACGCTGGAAGAACTTCATCCTGGGGACTCGTCGGGAGACCTTGCGTAGATGCTTCTTCATCTGGGACATCTTTGGCGCCGGACGGATCCTTCCGTTCTTTGCTGTGTGCGAGGTCAACTCAGCACTCGACTCGGAATCCCCGGCGGAGAATGAGGTCGAGGACTGCAGGGAATCTTCTTCTTCTTCGTCCTCGAACCTCTCGATGCCGGAAATGGCACACCACTCCTCCTTCCGTTGCACATGGGGGTACGAGATGTATTCCATCGTTTCGACGGTACATCCTTCCTGAGAGCTTCCCATGATGGACGACATGGTTGACTTAGGTACGAGGTCGTTCCGGTGAGAATCGCTAAGTGAATCTTAGGAAGCGGATGTCCTCTTCTGCTATCCTCATTGAATTGATTGCCCTTAGTGAATATCAACCATGACCGCAGTGTTTAAGTACTCTCAGAAACCGCGTCGCATCGCCTCCTCTCCGAATTCCATTGGGCGACCCATCCCTGTGAGAGGAGAGACGCCGAAGAACTCCCCTCGAATCGGAACGCAGGGTCGCAGAGTCGGATTCCAATCGCAAGTAATCAGGGGTTCTGGCCTAATTTCGAAATTCGCACTCTCTCCTCTGAATCGACAGTTTATCGTACCATGAGATTGGATCCGGATAGCAATCATGTGGAATTGAGAAATGTCTCTCCGGCTGCAGCTAGCCTAGCGAGCCGCGGCAGAGAATAAGCGTCAGCAATTTCACGGCTCTCGCTTATGGATGTCTGTAAGTCGTCGAAATCCTACATGCTCGAGTCTGGAGTGAAACTAAAGGCGATGCTCAATCGCAGACAGGGGTTGCGTTCGGGCGCTCCTCCAACTTTCAAAGCCATGAGAATTTCCGCCTGCGTCTGTACCGATGCCGGGCAATCTATCGCATTATGTATAACCAGCCTGGGGAGCGCGGCCTTCGGCCGCGCTCCTTATTGTGGACTCAAACGGGAATCCTGAGCTCATGGCCCGGGGGAGAATTCGTAGGTTGGAGGCAGCGGCAAATCCACCATCAGGAATTGCGGCGCTCTGTCGCGCTGCAATCAAATCTGATTTCATTGTTCATGTTTCGAAACACAGTGGGTGTGGGCAGGTGATTCATAAGAAACCATTCAGTTAACGGAGGCATGTCAGCACTCTCTGCTGTCATGGAAAGTGTAGATAAAAGTGAAGAAAGATAACGCCGGATTTATATGTGAATCGTATGTTTATTGATTGATTGCGGAAAGTCCCCCAATGCCTTGGAAATTTTCGGGATTGGGGTGGAGAAACTCATCGGCATGGAGGAGAGCAATCGCGGCGGTGTTGCGCCGGAATCATTGGTGATTCTTTGCTAAAAATGATTCCGTTGTTTATGTAAGGAAGACTATTTATTCAGATCTGAAAATTAGTGGCCGTGCGTGTCGGTAACTTTTGATGAGAAACTCATTCTGATTCTTGCGAGTCCATGAATTCAGCCATGAAACTTAGTTCCTCTAGCTCCAAGATCTCTGTTGAGAGCGCATAAACCGTAGCGAGCGTCGTCACGTTCCTTGGATTCAGGCAGAATGAACATGCGCCGCAATTGCCTATGAGGGCTTTCATGTACGCGTCCATGTCTGGATTGAGATAGTCTTGAGGGTTGGCGAGCGGGGGTACGATTGAGCAGATCGTTAGCGTCCTTGGGTGTCGCGTCAGAAATCCGGGTGGGGTTAAGCTGATCTTCAGAACCGGGCCGGTTACAGTCGGTAGGGCCGCGGTGACCATTTTTACCGGTATGGACACTATGCTTACGATCATAGGGTGATGGTCCAGCACGGAACGTAAATCCGCGTCTTTGAGCTTCCTTCCCTGAGACCATAAATGCAGTATCACGCGGGGGACGTCTTTACCGTCGCTGGTAGAATAAGTGCGGCGTCTCATGATTTTCGGTGCCATTACGTTCCTTCGATCTGATAGGGGTGTCGTCGGTGTCGTCAACGGTGGACTCGGGCGCGGATACGGCCCGTAGTAGTTGATTGGGAATTGTGATTGCATTCTAAAAAATTGATTGAACCACTTATATATGGATATGATGATTATGATAGTAAATCTGACGTCGAAACGCGATTACCACAGGTACCTCAATTGATCGAAGGAAGACTCGTGCCTTTGTCCAAAGTAATCGGTTTGCCTTGCTTGGTGTTTCAAGAAAACGATTGCCTCAAGCCTGGAGCAATGTGCGAATGCTCGCTTCTAGAGAAAAGAAAACTGAATGCTAACGGCCGGTGCGGCGGCGGAAACTTTCAACTCCTAACCCCAACGGCTCCGCTAGGCTTTCTTGGCGCGGCGGCTAGTCCTAACGGGTTCGGAGGGTCGAGTTGGTATCGAGTTTCTCGCCGCAGTAACTCATGTGAAGGATATAGCAGCTGCTTCGATGATATTTGTGGGAAGATTCCCTTCTTGTTTGACTGTGTCAGCAGAATTGTATAGGTGTTTCACGCTTCGCCCTTCGCCTCAATCGCCATGCTTGGCGAAGGAGTTGACCCCCGGCGAGAATGGTGAAAT